AAAAAACGTAGATACATTTTAATAGATAATAATCTGCACAGTATAAGTCATATACGTAGAATTATATATGGAGTGTCTCAAAAAGTGTACAAGAAAACCTTGCTTTTTTAATGGAACATCCTGAATGTTTGGATACTATTAGATAGCGTTACTTTTCCTGAGTTCAACAATATATGATACATAAGGGAGAGTGGAGGAATACCGGCCTCATAAGCAAGTCTGAAATATCTCTCAGATTTTACTGTTTAAAAGTAAACTGGGAGGTTTCAATCAAATTTAAGACCCTTGGGAACAGAATAACTGTTTATTAAAAGTCAACAAAAACGTTTTTCAAAAGTAAACTTTTTTTAAAACGTGTTGGTTGCCGTCAATTACCCAAAAGTTTTGTCACTGGGAAAAATCGCAGGCATATATATTTTTTATTTCTTCTTCGGTACAATCATGGTATAATCGTTGTGGGCCCACCCAGAACATCGCGCACATCTTGAGGCAAATTTTATTTGCTTCAAAATGCCCAATTAGGAGTTTAAAAAATGAAGAATAGAGTTGATTTACAGACTACAGAGAGTTTTAGGTTGAAGGGAATGGTTACATACAATGTGGAAAGCGGGTAGAACAAGCAACAGTAGCTTACCATGAGAGAATCTATTRGTAATTTATAAAAAATACCATATTATGAGCAGTGGGGGCGCCAGCTCTGCTTTYSGCTACATACTTTCTATACCTATSKGCAGMAATTKMCGRCRRAATTCGATTTTGATAGGCAGGAAATATKTATACTTTTAAGTGTAAGAGTTGGATATAATATATGTTTACAAAATATTTTGTTTTCTTCTTTKGCCGAATATAATGTAAAATATTTCTTAGTTATTGTTATTTAACATACAAGCGTTGCAAAGATTTATTTTTAGGAAGCACTTATAAGGACATGTTTTTGTCAAACAATGAGCTAACAGAGTTTGACAATGCCTTGACTGTCCCAATATGAATTTACAATACAAATATTATACGACATTTTATCTACATTCGTAGAATAACGAGATAAATATTACAAAAATATATTTTTTTCATCGTTATTATGTTGGAAACAAATGCTGAATGAAATTCGCTACACCACTAGTATAGTAATAAAAACTATTATAAACAAATTGTTACTCTAAAATTTAACTTTTTTCCTTTCAGGTGGCACGATCCAACCTACGATGAGTTTTTCATTACCTACTTTATAGCGGCGCTTAGGCGTGCACGCGTGTATTTGATAATATATATTGTTGTATTTATTATTTATTCTACAAGAACTTTATAAGCAAATTTTCGGATTCTGGATTGAGTTTTAAAATCCCTGAAATTTTATGTCCGTAAAATATAATTATTAAAATATCGCAAATCGCGTTAACACAAAGCGGACTGCTTATGTACGCGCGTGTTACTTGTTGTAATGAAAGGTAAGTCCTTTTATTTATTGCTGTTTCAATTCGTAAGCAATTTAGAAATCGCACAAACAGTTCATCAGTACCGTGTTTAATAAGTTCAGGCGGGATAATTTCAGTCCGGCAGATTTTCCGCTTTTTAAGGCTGTGCTTATGTTTTTAACTTCAGGAAGTGTTAACGGTATAGGAGATCCTATCGTTCTGGAAGTATCATTTATTTCTTCTTCTTGAAATGCCACTCTTTCTTCCGTTAAAACTTTTTCGAAGTGTGCATCCCATTATTTGTCTGATGTTGGCGAAATTACATCTCTGGTAGTTTGTTTTCTAATTGATTTTATCGTCTTCCAACTTTCGGTGCTTCTTGGACCTCCTAAATAAGAGTGTATTTTCTGGCACTTTTGCGTTCATGCTACATTTTTCTTGTCACTAATCATTCTTCTCACCTTTGATTGTCCGCTCTAGTAATTTTGTCTGGAATTTTCCGTTTTTTGAGATAAGTAAATGTGATACAGTTTTATCTTTTCCTCTATTTCTGTTTCAATATCAGCATCCCACCATATGATTTTCTTAACTTTGATTTTTCTTCCACTAAACAGTGCTTCTTTTGCGGCTTAATGAATGCTTCATGTAATGTAATCATACTCTGCTTTGGGTTTTCGCCTGAACGGGCCTCGAGTTCATTAATTTGATATGATAATAAAACAAACTATTAAATTGAATCAACTTCATAAAGGCAATTGCCGATTGTATTGAATGAATCATGAATTAAACTTGCGTAATTTTTCAGCTTCATTTGGAATTTATATTTCTGTTATTGACCCGATCTATTAATTTGTTGGTTTTCTGTTTTAAGCATTCGACCCCATTAAATTTTAATTAATATTATATTTTGATAAATATTACTGAAACAAATACTACTTATGTTACTATTGTTAATAAATGTAAGTTTTTAATTATCTAAATTTAAGCAATTGTTTGTCAAGACAACCGCGATTCAACATTTTAAAATTTTTTTTTGGAAATCCATTTAGATAAATCGAATTTTGTCGTAAATTGCTGCAGATAGGTATAGAAAGTATGTAACCAAAAGTAGTATTTTTCGTAACTTGAATAAATAACACTGACAATATACTTACGAGATGTGCCATCATTCAAAAAGTGAGATTTTTTGGAGTTTGAAAACACGTGAATTTGGAGGGTTATGTCGACCCTGTAGTTTCGGTAAATATTTTGCAAAATAAATATTAACACCGTATTAGTACTTTCACCTCAGCCAAATTTCAAAAATTTGTGTTTTCGGAGAAATTTTCGCTTTGTTAGCATGAAAATGCGAATTTTTAACGTTAAAGACGAATAACTAAAAAACTATCCAATTTTCGTTTATAATTTATAAAAAAAATAATTGGAATATAGGCGAAAATTCAAAAACAAAATAAAATATTAGATGTTTCATTGGAAAAAAATTGTTTTCTCCGCTGCAACTATTTTACTCTATTGTTGGCACAACCTGTACATCCGTCCTAAAGATCAACATTTTTCCATAATCTTTTTGAGGCTGTTTAATGGAAATGACTACCGTAACAATTTTTTTACAATCATTAGCTCTTAACGTATGTTACAGTACGGATATCAGTATTGTAACGTTCCGCTCCAACCAAAGAACAAAAATTTCGGACTTCTTGAAAGTCCCAGGTGATTGTTAATGCAATGTTTATATCAACTAAGCAGTACGGTACAATTCTGTTCCCGAAAATATCAACTTACCATGAGTTATTGCCATCAAGTGTGCTCGACTACACTTTGGAAACACAGCTTTAGGGGTTTTAGAGAGTAAAATGTTCGGAGAAATTCCGACTGCCACTAGCTTGATTTTGTCAAGCTGAATGCCTGTTATTTTTTCGCTTTGTTCTTTTCCGCATGAATGTAAGTATTTGGACAAAAAAATATTTATTCAGAAGTGTCGAGAAATTAAATGCTTGAGAGCATAACGATTTATCTGGCTAATTTTTTGATTTTCTAACACGTCGCAGTAAAAATCAGCCTTTTGACAAACTGCAACATTCCTGATTCCTGCCTGTTCGCGGAATGTGCGTATAGGGTTTCAGGCAATTTTATTTGTCGTGAATATAATCGAAGATATTAATTAGCACTGACATACGCAGATTACTTTCAAGTACAAGTTAATATATTTGAACAGTCATCCACTTCAACGTAAGTAACCATAAACCATTACTTTTATCGAGTAGACTAAAATGTTGAAGCTGCAAGCACTTGCTGACATTCAGATGCTTTTTGTTCAACATAGTAAAAACTCACCTGTTTCAAGCAATGGCATCGAAAGCCTAATTTGTTTGAGAGTATGTTGATAGCTCGTCATTGCTGAGTTGGTAAAATTGTGATATATTTTTTTCCGGAGAATATCACCTACAAGTAAACGTTGCTTTTACTTGAACTTACAAGTCCGGTAATTTAGAAAACAATGTTGAACAGAATGAGATAAACTTGCAAACTTGAATTTTGACCTGTATTGAATAAATTTTCTTATTTTTTAATTGTTTTATATACAGGGTATCCCGTAAGCACATGACCAAATTCAAATTTTATAAATGAAACCCACAAATAGTTCTTATAACTTATCTGATTTCAACCATTTGCGAAACATGTTTCTAATTTTTAGACGTCGTTATAGAGCTTATAGATTTAGACAGGACATATTTCAAATGCTTTGCTATTTACTTTAGTAGAGTCAATATATTTCTTTAGCACTGATATAAAACTTGCCCTTGTAACGAAATCTATTTCCACTGGTTGCATGCAAATAATTTTCATTGACTAGTCAGCTCTTCTCAACCCTTTCCAAGATATAAATTTTATAGGTTTTGGGGCTTTTTTAAGGAAGGAAGGAGTGTCCAATTATTGAGTAATTTTTCCAAAATGTGTCTTTCAAACGCATAATCAAATCAGTAAACTTTTAGAGTTTTCCGTTCTTTCTACTATTTTTATGGTTCAGGTTTTATTAAATATTTAAATCTTTAGTCTCCTCCTAAAGAACTCAGCCCTACAATCTCTATGCACCATAATATGAATCTAGGAGCTCTCTATAGAAATGGTAATTAAGATTAAGATATATATTAAAAATAGGTATAACCAGATATCCTGAAACGACCGATGTTACCATTCGTCAGTCTCGTTCTCTAGTCATACATTTGATACTTGTATGTATTTTTTTGGTCTGCTTTTATTTAAAGGATTTTCAAACTTCACAGGTAACATGTAAACCACTCTTATACCAAATATCCCCTCAATCGCGTCAAAAGTACCTTTAAAACAGATTTAAGGAGAAAGGTCGAGTTATCCTGTGGTCTGCCAAAAATTTGTTTTATTTGGTTTACCCTCATAACTTACTGGGTTGTCGCTCCCATATATCTTAATGCATAAACCATCAATATGTATATTCAGTTCTAATAAGAAAAAAAGAGGAAGTATTATTGCGTGGTTTGTTGTAAACGGGTAGACCATTAGAATGATTTGTTTCGGTAGGATAATAGATGTGAAAATAAATCGCTGATCTAGAAACATACTTCCATGTTCAAAATGCGCAATCAAAATAAAAATCACCAAACGAAACTTAACCAACTAGATACTTAATTTTAGTCTTAACAGCTGTTTTCTTTAACTTAGTACCTTAAAAATTATTTACATAATGTTCAATATTATTAAATTATTATATAAATCACAGTTAGACGGTAAGATGTTGCCATACTTCTCTTCTAATCAAGAACACTAGCAAAACAATACAATCAATGCACTTTTTGAATTTCTTTGAACTATAGTTGTTTTCATTTAATATAACCACTGGAGCGGTGTTGAACTGCAACGATTTCAATCTTTTAAAAGTGGCCACGCGTCATCGATAATTCTGTCAATTTTCAATACTTCCACTGTACAATCGCTCATATCTACATATGTATCCATGTTAACAATCTTCATCATTTCCTGTGCGGTGGTAGTATACTCCAAATCATTCAAATGAAAAGTGGTTGAAATAGAAGACAAATCCAAAGTGCTATTGCATTTTTCGTCATCTGAACAACGCTGTAATAGAGCAGAAGTGGACTTTCTAGCAAAATTCTTTTTTTTTGCTGATTTCGAAGGCTCAGGCAATATTGGTATAGCATTAGTAATTATGGTTCGCATTGCTTCGGACAATTCGTTCATAACATCATTTAAAACCGTATATGATTCGTCGCAGCCCTCGTGAGCGCTCTGGCAATGCAAAGAATATTCTCCTTGCTTTTGAAATCGAGCACTGCAATAGTTACATGATATAGGCTTCAAGTGCCCTCTTAGATGCCACCTTATGGGTACTGTTGTAGCCGAACATGTCACGAAATTGCATAGCGTGCACGAGAACTCTTTGTATCTAGCTTTTCGGGTGATTCCTGTTTTTTTGTTTCCCACTGTTTGAAAATTTACTCGAGATATGCCATGAACCGTAACGAAATGACTATTCATCTTGGCTTTGGAATAAAACCTGGCGGTACATAGGCTGCATTTAAATCTATACGGAGCATATAGGAGCTGCTCGTCTCTATGAACTTCCAAAAAGTGTCGTCTTAAATTTAACTCGCTGAAAATATCTTCACAAATATTGCATGCCATTTTCGGTACAAATTCACTATCGGCTCTCAATTTACTAAGAATATGAAACTTGGTAAAACAAATTTCATGAATCGATTTTAGATGGGTCATAATTTCAGCTTTATCTTCAGTGAAGAATGCGCATGTCTCGCAAGCATAAACCTTGTCTGTGTGTGAAGCAGATTCAGCTTTTGAATGGTCACTTGATTCATCTTCATCCTCTAGATTAATTACAGGATTAACAGCCACTTCGCCATCAGCCTTAGGCTCATTTTTTAAGGGCTTCTGAGTTTTCGGTGCACGTTTATTTACACCACTAGTGACTTTGGTTTTTGATGGATTTTCGTTAAGTTCAGGTTTATTGCTCAAATCCATTTCCTCAGCAGGCGGCAATGCTTTTTTCTTCGTTTTCTCAATGCAATGTAACGCTTTCTCCAGGGTTGCTCCTTTGGGTTCTAAATATATATTTGCATCTGGATGTTCGACGTGGTGATGATGCTTTAAATCATAGATGGTAAAAAATTCATTTCGACAGTGCTGACACTGATAAGGCATCATTACCCAATGGTACAGCATGTGTTCGCAACACTCAGGCATTGACATGAACCTGAAAATAAAATTCATGCAACTTATTAAGATTCTGGCAAAGTCGCGTCGCGCCAACAAATTTACAACATTAAACATTATATTTTAAAAGCTAATTTGAATACCTACTTCTTAGGACAGAATAAACATTTAATGTCCATTGGCCCAGTTAAAAGACTATTAGTTTTTAACAATGGCGTATTCTTCAAGATAAGCGCACTTTGCTTTTGAATAACCATGTGAATCCATGTATTTAATTTAATATTTGTGGCAAGTGGTTCAATAATATCTTCCTTACAACCCGGATGAACTTTCAAATGTTCTTGCATGTATTTATATGTAATACTGATGTCTTTACAAGAATTGCATCTATACCTGGAAAAGGAGTACAAACTGTCACTATACTTTGATTCGCATCATAAAATCAGTTTTTGTTCATTTTCTACGATATAGGTAGAACAAGAACAACAGGTAGTTCCAGAACTACGTACCTGTATAAATTAAAGTCTTTGTAAATATGGAACATAAAGTCGCCCACTCTTTTCGATTTAAATTTACGACACTTTGGACACATCCATTGCTTATTGTGCGGCTCTCCCAAGTCTCCAAACAATCTGACAAGATTTTCCTTACTGCAAGAAATAGCCTACGGAAACGAAACATATTTAATTCAGTACGTAACCCGATTATTAATTAAAAACCTTTATTAATTTTATTAAACCTCAATCAATCAAGAGAGCATGTACATAATTTGTCAAACGTTTTAATATTTTAAATTTAAGAAAATTTAATTTAAAAAATCGTAAATAAGTCAGTTACAATTGTTTATATAAATATATACATATAACCATTTATTCTTACCATAGCATAGTCAGATTCAACCGTATCATCTATTTTCGCCACCTTTGCAGGCTCGTGTAATATATTTCCTCCCGATCGTTTTACTGTCCGATTCTTTGATACCGAGATGTTCTCTTGGTCTGTCGTATTTGGAGTGTCACTGATATCTGTTGCGTCACTTTGCATAGACTTTCCATCCTCGTGATCACTATCCTCTGAATCGATAACTGTAACAAAGTTAAAAGTTCACATCTCAAATATCGTCATTCGATATTAGATATATACATAAATCGATATGGTATTGAGCAGGACTTTTAAATGAAAAAAATAATTTACCTATTACTTTAGGGCTTTGTGTTACATCAATGACATCGTCAGAATCATCTTCTTCAGGTTGTTCCATTTTTGGAATTTTCATATTTTCTGTGCCGGGTTCATCTAGACCTTTTTGTGGAGGCAAACTTTCAATATTTTTATTGTGATATAACCCGCTAGTGCTAGGCTGATTATCGTCGACCATGCTGTCGGAACCTGAAAAAGAAAAACACATTTTTATATTTTAAGCAGTTTTCGAAAAGTGAGTTCGAATTATTTTATTCTATTTTATTTCACCAATTAATAACTTTTTTACTCAAAGCAACAAGAAACCAGATCAATGAAATATTCTGTTCTCTAAAGAATTACACAGCAGTTATATAAAATCACTTTAAATTTAAATTTAACATACCTCTAGCAACGGCGTCGATACAGTCCCACAAATTGGAACGAGCAGTGCTATCTGAAATACGGTAACAGCTCTTCAGGCTTCCTGATGCACTACTTTTTACTACACTATTTGATAGGTCTTTGGAAGGACTGGATACTGCTTTTGGTGTCGAAGCGTTGGCTGTTTTTGTTGAGTTTTGAGTCTTCATTTTTTTAGCTGACTTTGTCGGCTGAGGAGATGAATCGTCAAAGAGGATGCCTCTAATGTGTCGCACTCTATGTTTATCTCGCTGCCACAATGGTGTTGTATCAAATCGAATACGATTCTGTTCTTCATTAATTTCTTCTTCAACCTTAAAAAATTAATGATTAATGTTCGACTGTTTTATTTAAGAAAAAAGTGAATTTGATGAAATGAAATGAATTGAAATTGAATTCGAGTAGCAATCCAAATCTTAACTTACTTTTTGATACATTAGCACGATATCAAACGTGTGATTTGGATGATTGTCTTTGAAATGATCTTGACAACCGACTTCATCATCGCTTTTAAAAGCACACAGCGTACATTTATACTGAGTATCAACATTATGCTTTCTAATAATGTGTGCCTGAACGTCTTCTCTAGTATTATATTTTGATTTGCACATACAGCAGCACCACGGCTTCAATTTCGTTGGAGATGAATGCGGCGTAGCTATTTCATCTTGGTAGGTGAAAGCTTGAGGCTCAGATTCCATGTATCTAACAATTTCATATTTAAATTAAACATGTATTAAATGGCACTATGGAATTTCAGTTATTAGAAATAGTAAATATATATAAACGTTCTTAGCAATTTTTTTTCTTACTTTAGTTTTGGCGTTTTACTAATGCCTTTTAATATAAAACAAAAATTCGTTTTTCTTTTTGCGTCGTTAAATAACGTATCTTTACATGTTTTTTAATTTGCAGACAAAAATTTTATTAGAATATAGTTTCTCCAAATTCAGATAAGAAATCTATTAAAAATTATAAAAATGGGTAGATTTCAATTGAAATACAGAAACGAACATACACTTTATTAATAATAAATATATGAATTAATTAGCACCAAAATAAAACCAGGTTAGCACAGTATTTTGTCGTTAGTTAGTTAGAACATTGAGTAGAACCATGGTACGAAGTCGTTCCACTATAGGATGACAGTCAAAACAATAAACAAAAAGTGAATTGATGAAAGTGATTGATTGAAAGAATTATTTATCTGATCCACAAACCTGCTCCATAAAAAAAATAATTGTTGAACGGTCGAGAAAAGGCAAATAATATTTCTAAGATACCTATTCTTTAAAATAATATTTTTTGGTTATTATGGATAGTAGGAAACGGAATAATTCAATACAAGCCATTAAAAAAAAAACAATGATTAAACTTTGAAATAAAAGCGCCCCAATCAATCTAAAATTTCTTTGAAAGTTTTACTTTACCTGATTGTGTCGACTTTAGCTGCAACATCTGGATGGCTATCTTGACTATGTTTCTCTATTTTGTGTTTCAAATGATGAACAAAATGACAATAATGGCATTTATATAAGTGAAGACCGTGCATCTTAAAGTGCTTCATAACGTGCTCAATGTCGTTTGGTTCGATTTTAATCTTGCAGTGTGCACAGATAAAATTATTATCATCACTATGCAGTGCCATTAGATGATGTTTCAAATTGCTTTCCTCGGGACAGAGGTAGGCGCATCCTTCAGCGCCGCACACATATCGACGATGTGTCGGAACATAATCTGGGTAAATTTCTTCTTTTTCCTCATCTTTTTTATCTAAAATATGAGAACTAAGAAATCTCCCTATTTTGCTTGCATGTTGTGAATTAGTAAAAATGCACAATCCAATTAATTCCGCAAAATTTTACAATTACATTTTACATTCACACATACATTTTTTACATACACACTTCTTTATCAAAGAGGTGTTCTGTGTATCAACTAATTCCCTCACAAAAAATTTTAATTTGACCTTACCTTTTGCAGTTCCACTCATTCTTCCTGTCGTTATTGAACTTGCAGCAAAATTTATCATTTTATCGAACATCTTCTCGTTCTTTTCCAAACAAGGCACAGGGTTAACTGGTGCACTATCGGATACAGCTTTCTCATCCAAATGCATTTGAAGATGTCTTATTATATTCACCTGAAACATATAATATAAAGCTAAACGATACAAATAAAGGTTCACATTGGCTCATTAATGGTCGCTTATGGGGTATTAAACATGTTCAATAATTTAGAAAAAACTATAGATCGACTAACATTACACTATGTCCCATACAAATTCAGACGCTAGTTTCATATTTATATACAGGGTGGTTTTTTTTAACTTGAACCGCTTAAATATTTCGAAAATTAGTGATCATATGAAAAAATGTGTCAAATAAAAAGTAAATATATGCGAGGTTGAAGTTTATTCGTCTTCGCCTACTTATTATTACTAAAAACGCATTATTACGCTCTATTACTAAAAACAGGTCCACCTTCGGACCTTACGAAGTCTGTACTTTACAAGTTGTGAAACACGGGACATCTTAATGTAATACTAAACATATAATAGCAATAATAAACAAACAGAAAGTTTTTGATAATATAAATGTACTTACCCTAACTTTAGTTTGATAGTTACAAACCCCACATTTCACGTTAGAGCTAAATATTTGTCTAATCGGTATACAATCAATCTGATCAGGTGCGTAAGTCGAATTGTCCCCAGTGTAGTTCGGGGTTTCATTTGTAACATCTTTTTCTCTTGACGTACCTGGAGTGGCTTGACTCGGTTTTATTACAAAACAATCTTCCTCCGGGTCAAACTGATCCGCAATTAGCGGAACTAGTGTCGTTTGATTGAGGCTGTGACGAGATCTCATATGGTGTCTAAAATGAAATAATCTATCTAATGTAAACGCTTTTAAACTTTATTTAATTTAACATTTCTAAAATTTTCATCTTTCAAGGTTTTAGAATGTTATTCCAGTATACGGAGTGCACGTAAATTTTGCAGTTAATTTGAAACCGAAACGAAAAAAATATATTATCGATACACAATATAAACTTATTAGAATTATATTCGCTTACCTTGCAATAGACGCAATCGTGAATTTATCATCGCATAATGAACAAGAAAACCTTGCTAAACCGTGAGTCAGGATATGATCTGTCAATCGCAGAAAAGATTTCAAAAGCTTATGGCAATGTGCACATCTCAAGATTTGTTTGCATTTAAAACTAGAGAAAACATGAGATTTAAATGCCTTCACATTGACGAACGATAAATTGCAGGTGCTGCAGCGGAATAGCTCATGTCCTGTTAAAAAAATCAACAATGACGTTTCAATCTCAAACATATTAATTTTAAAGTATATTTACCTGAAAGACCCCGTTGCTTTTTTTCCGCGCTGAGGTAATCCGACTCGTCATCTGAATTGGAAATCATGGATGCTGATCTGTGCATATTACCTATTTTCAAAAGCACTGCAGGCTCAGCACCTGGACTGAATTTATTAAAATTGTTTACTGAACGTCCGTCTTTAGATAATGGAGATTCTTCGGTTAACGGATTTTCCGACAGTGGATCTATAGAATTAGTACTTGCAATAGGTAATTCTTTAGTGGTTTCTATAGTTGAATTTTCAACAATCTCAATGTGTTCAATTGAAGCAATACTTTCTATTTTATGTAAATCGTCACCAACATTTGATGGACGCAGTAAAATGTCAGGCTTGATGGGCTCTGTTAGAGTTGAAAGTGTATTCTTAGATTTTTCAATACTCATTGGCTCAGTCGTTAATTCGTAACTCCTTTGGTCCGCTTCTGTAAGAATACTATCAATCGCAGATTTTAATAAATCATGCTTTTTCACGGAATTACGAGTACATAGCGGGATTAATTCACCACATGGTGTGTTCTGTTCATTGCTCAATCCACTTGCTCGAACTGACTTATGGATCGGCACTACCTTGAAATTTGCACTTGCATCAGTAGAATGAGTTATCATAGAAGTGGCGGAAATATTAGATTGTGATGATTGAATTTTTCTAATAGGAGGATTGCATAAAGCAGATTCAGCAGGATAGATCGTAATGTTACCAATCCGAACTGGACCTTTCGGCTGCTCGCTAGCTTTTATTGCTGAAACTGTTGTGTTCGTGGTAGCAGTTGTTGTTGTTGATGTAGCTGAAACTACAGATGCAGGAACAATATAAATTTTATCTTTAGTTCCGAGCTTGGAGGATAAAACCAACTGTAATTTGGAAGTTGGTGGCAAACGCTGAGATGGCTGATTTGAGGTCGGTGAAGAATTTGGTAATGCTGAAAGCGATGGTTGTGACATACTCGATCCAGCTGGTATTTCATCATGAAATGTAATTTCTTTGCCAGCAGCACTTGAATTTGTTGGCGTTGATAATCGATTTTCGTTCGCTGCTATCTTCTTTAGTGCATCTATTTTAATATGACGAATTTGATTAAACGCTTCGTCTGTATACCGCAGATCTTCGTTCTAAAATTTATAAAATATTCTGTTAATTTGGTGAAGTGCGTTTGACTATTCTGTTAATTTGGTGAAATACGTTAATTTGTTGAAATATTCTACCGTTAGCCTGACTCAACTTATGAAGCACTATGTTTCTGTTACATTTTTACGATACTTTACGATACTTTTTACGAGCAACGGAAGAAGTGAGATAACACATCATTATTGTCATTACGAAAGGTCACGACCAACCAACATCTGCTAAACTAGGCCTGGGTAACACTGTGTTCTGTGGCACTTTGGTGTTGATGACGCTCTGTGTCCGGCCTTGCTCGCGGCCGTGTGAATAGCTCCATGTAAATCAATGTACCTTCAAAACGCGCTTCTCAGCAGCGCCACTGAGAAGCGCTGCAAAGTGGCCCGTGTGAAATGGCTCTTAATGAATGGAATAAACGAAGTCCCAATATACTAGTTGTCTCACAAGCGAATTTTCGGGGAAAGGATTCGAATATTTGGATAACAGGTGTCGGAAATCGTTGAAATAACATAGTTTTCATTTTCCATTATTTTCCGAAACAACGGCACTATATCCAATTCTACATTCAAAATATCTCGATGTACAGTATACAACAGTTCGAGATCTCGAACCTTAATACTTATATTAATTAACTTATACTAAAACACATGTAGCCCAACTTCCTAAAAGAATTTACTTGTCGAGTTGTCGGAGATCTGCAAGACAATCACGAAGATTTCGCAAAGAAACACCGAATTAAGCATGCTTGATATCGGCGAACGAACAATATAATATATTACGACGTGATAATATTTTAATCTCGGCCAACTGATATTTTTCTGCCAGTGCTGCAAAGTTGGGTGATAAATCGCAAATTAGGCGATAAAATTTGCTAAAATGCATCTCAAATGTTGAACTTGGGATATGCGCAAAATGAGTGATAAGTCTTCATCAACGTTATGCGACTTGGGCGAATTTTTGTTCGTCACTATGCGACTTTCTTTATCTAAACATCACGGCGAATTGGTTTGTATTGATTATGCATACCGGTCACAGCGCCTCTTCAGTAAAACCAGGGAAAAAGAGATTAAACGAGCTGCACCGATTAAACTGCCTTGCGTCATGGGCTGTTACCGGTGCAGCGAACCTACGAGTGAACTTACGAACCACCACTACACATCACGTAACACAAAGTCCTCTGTTTTCTCCCAACACAGTTATTTTGTCTATATTATGAGTTTCCTGCATCATAAAAAGTGTTGACGCGTTCTATTGAAGCTACAAGCCGTATCGATATCGCTGTGGAAACACCTTAAAATCCACTGTCTTACCCAGGCCTATGTTAACAACTGTTGTTCGTAGTATTCGCGAGTCCAAAAGTCCAAACGCCCACTGGCGGCTAAGTTATAACTACACTTAACTAGTAACATTTATTTTATTTTGTTTAGTTCTAATCAGCTTTTGCAAGTCCTTAACCAAATACAAACTAACCAAAAAAAAAAATTAAGTGTTGAGTGTAAAACAATCAGATCGAAAAGCGAATGTTAAAATATGGGATGTCAGGAAGGTATTACCAATTTATTTATACGATTTTTGTTTAAACCAACCAGTCATCGGAAAGAGAATAAAGTTATTTTGAGAAACGACTAAAGTTGAATACTGGGCCCGGTGTCCCGGACACAACATGCTTCGTTATTCCGAGACTCTTAAAAGAAGCAATGTTTAGTAATGGGTCGTAATAGCGCTTAACGAAATTATCAAAATGTAGAATACTTACTGACTCAGGGTGGGTTGTTCTGTCTAATATATCTGGCATCAGATTGGAATGACACATCCAAAAATGCGAGTATAAGATGTATCGATCTTTACCACTAACACGACAATAAGCACACTGGAAACTATAAACACCGTGACAATGTGCCCAATGATCCAGAATTTCAGAACTGGAAATTTTCTGCAGACAGTCGTTATAGCTGCACTCCAAAATTGAATTATCATGTAGAGTTTTAATGTGATTAACGAAATCTCTTTCCAATAAAAATTCATGGACTTCTGAAAGACCTACAAAAAGATGTAATTAGAAAAACGGCAGTGATAAGTACTTCTGCTTCCTGTAGCGCCCGATCTTAATGGAGAGCAGAAATCGGAAATAAGTGAAAATTGTCGAAACTTCGGGTTACCTGCAGTAATACTGCACGGGTGTAAATTGCGATTTAGGTCTATCCTAGATAAACTAGCATCTTAAAGACGATCATGTTATCGTTGAGAGCGATAGACCCGCCAACCGTATCCAGTAAAATTAAAAATAGTTTTTTTAAATCCAGTCAACCAAGAGAAAGAAAAATGGTCAAACCTTTTTATTAAAATAATCAGACGAAATACTCCTTTTTTCTGTGGCAAAGCAACTTATACGCGTGCCTAAATGCGCATATTCTTCAAATAATGGTGTATGTTAAATTTGGTGCAATATGATAACTTGATACAATACTAGACCACGAACAAAGTTTCGCTACTTATGGGATAAAATTGGTTCCGAAACTACCAAAAAGCAGGAATAAGGTAATTTTCTAGATTGTCAGGCCCTCGCCTTTTTTTTATGACGGACATACCAGCTGCTATTTTCTTAACTTTGAACGCGAGGGCATGATAAACTATAAAACGTCCTTAAAAAAATTAAATTATTTTAAAATTGCTGCAAATAACCCCACCTTAGATGACTTCTTTGCTAAATGAGCATTTGATTGATCATGATTTACACCCATGCATAAGCTGTTGTAGTAGATTGAGCAAAAATTAATAAGATTTTACAGTTGACTTACCTTCCTTATTTTTACAAACGCAGCGAAACGGTTTACAAATGACTCTGAGGTTGTTCTTTGGAGCTACTGCAGAAAACTTTTTTACAGCCCGGGGCGATGGTATTGTAATAATTGAACACGGCACGTTATGATGAACTGCTTTTTGATGTAGTTCAACATATTCCTTTAAAATTCCTCTGTAAAGGCATAGACTACAAGAAAATCGACTGTTTGCATGTCGAATGTCAATATGCATTGGAACATGTTCCCATGGAGTTTTTATATCGCAATATACACAAGGAACCATTGCAACTATACTTTGGGTCAGATGAACTTTCACGTGGCGAGTAATTAATATTCGTACATTTGTACTAAAGCCACAATAAAAATGTGGACATTTGTAGAGGTCAAATGGAGCTGCAATAAACTTTTTCATAACCCGCGGAGCCTTTTTAGGTTTCTTCAGTTCATTGGTGGACATTTTCGCCTCTTTCACTACTAACGGCATAGCTGAATTTTGCTTAATGGGTGGTTTCCCAAGTAACGATAATGTTGGCACGTTATTTAACGGCACAATGTTAGTAACTGGTGTATCATCAGACGGATTGGTTGGTTGATCATTAGACTCAGCTAATGACATAACACTTGCAATTTTAAATGAAAACGGATTGTCTTCGGCGACCTCTACTGCTTCTCCAGCACAGCTATCTTCATTCCCAGCGGAATTGTTAGTAGTATCATTTTCATAAGCATAATCCGCCGTACTTTCACGATCTTTTTCAACATTTTCAACAGACGGTTGATGTAACTTTTCTTCATCTTTTATTGATAGCTTATCACCGCTTAGTTTTCGCATTCGCAGACTAGCGGCCATACTGAGAAAATCTGAATGGGCATAAACTAAATGGTCGTATAGATTTTCTAATAAGGTAGTATCTGGAGTTGGCTCAATGAGAATTCCACATTTACTGCAAAGAGACGATTTCAAGTTTAAATTTTTATGTCCAAATTTGCAATGCAGTTGGAACACCAATTTGTCTTTCGTAGATACGTAGCAATTATTAGCAATACATGAGTAAATTAACTCATTATCCATTTTAGTCACCTTTATTAAATCAGCCATGGCAAGTACGACGGATGAAGTTGTACCATTATCCACAGGCGAAGTATTACCAATAGATTCTTCAGTTTGAGTTAATACCTCTTGTTGGTTCTCTGCCGCCTCGTTAACTTTACCTTGTAACTTTTCTATCATATTCGAAAATAAGCTGTTAGGTTTGTTTTGATTAAACTTAATATCAGCTTGATGAACCGTTGGTTGTTCCTCCAATACCGGTTTTTTTGTCACTAGGTGCATATGATCGCTTCTGAAGACCGTTGGTGACTGGAAATTGTGAACATATTCGGTGCTACCAAGTGTTATTGACGAATTTGTAGAGTAACTGTCATTCGGCTCAACTTTAACATCGATTGAAACATTTTCCATTGCCAACTGCTCATTCTGTTCATTGTTAAGCATTTCAGATAATTTGTTTACAAACTCAAGCTTTAAGGGTCTGGATCCAATTGATTTATTAAGTTCGTCCATTTTACGCAATCGATCTTCTTCAATCTTCTTTGCATCTTCTTGCAAAATGTCAGTTCTACACGTAAAAACATTAAGATCCTGTTCATTGGACTGAAAATCATCCGATTTTGATCGATGCTCTATTTGTTGAACTGGTTGCGATTCTACTTTCTTACCTTGCAGATTTAACTTTTCTTTTACAATATCTTTAGACTGGTTTTCCTGTGATTTTCTACTTTCATTTAAGGCTGTATTTTTTTCAGGTACCTTACTACTTTCTGGCGGTGGGTCACTGTTTTCCATTAAACTTTTAAGCTTCTCAGTTGCTTTCTGCTTGGCCGCTCTACAGCTCCTACTAGAAAGAGTAATAATACTATCCAAATTATCTCCACTATCTTCAGCAATCAATTTCTCTAGACTGCGTTTTCTTTTCCTAGAAGTTTTTAGAGAATTGTCACTTGGTGGAGCAGTTGTCAGTGACTTTGATTTATTGCTGACATTATCTGCCCCTACCAAATTATCTCTATTGGACCGATCTTCTCCACTTTTTGCAAGTTCTGATGCTTGAGGGTTTGAACGCAATTGTGCGAGCGGTGTATTTTCATTGTCACTGAGAATATTGCATTGTTCATTTTCAACATATCCAAATGTTTTTGATTTAGGGCCGGGTCGTTTTCTAAGCTTAGAGACTGGCTTTTTAAGTATGGGTGGATCAGTTGGCTTTGGCACTTTAATTGAATTATCTTGTTCTCCTTGCAAAACCATCAGTTGTGAATTATCATGTTCCCCAATACATTTGGAATTCCTTCTCAATAGTCGTTCATCTATCACCGTGGACATATTGATTTTATAAATTGTTGGCTTACTTTCCAAGTGATATTTATTAATATGGCTCTGAATGCATTTTTCTTCAATTTGAAAATAGTTACATTCTCCGCACATGTAAACAAAAATAATGGCCAATGAATAATTTATTTTTATGCATGTAGTTTCTTCTCCCTTATGGTTACCAAGAAAGTGGCTCTTGATTGCTCTGCTACTAGCAGTTACATAATTACAGGTAACACATTTGTGACGATACTCTCCCGTGTGTACGGTCACGTGTTCGTAAAAAGTAATTGGTGCAATTGAACTTGCATATCCACATAATCTACATGAATATTCATATTTTGTTTTCAATTTGACATTCGTTATTTCCTCTAACATGTTTCCATTTTCGGCAAAATCTTTAATGGCTTGTTCAGCAATATCAGGAGGAAATCTAGAAGAAAGCACTTCAGACTCTGGATGTTCTTTTAGGTAATGAATGGTCATCATTAACCCCTTGTAATTGCATAATTTACAATATAACTTCTGCTTGGTTTTAAAATCGGCAAAATAATTTTTATCATGCTCAGGTCTATCATTTTCCAGTTCCTCGTCGTCAGTAGGCACATCGCTTGCATAGGAAGAAATAGGAGACTGTGTTCTATTTGGACTGCTAAGTTTTTGTTGAGTTTTCTTCTTTTTATTTTTAGAGATTACGCCAGCAGCCCACTTAGGTGTCTTACGTCGTTTCGTTTTTGTTTTTGGTGAAAATCGAGTTGTTATCTCGCCTTCAGAATCATTACCTGATTCTACTTCAACATCGGACTTTTCCGAGAGAGCTTCAACGCTTTCGAGAAATGAGTCTTTCTCCTGACTACTTTCTGATTTCTGGTCACTCAGCTCATCTTCCGATTCAACATACTTTCTAGTATGTCGTTTCAGCTGTGCAGAAGATCTGTTCGAACTTAAAATGTCATCAGGTATCTTGTTAATTACAACTCGCATATCTTTCATTGATTTTTCTTGTAATTCTAGCTCTTTTAATTTAGATTTCGGCATAGGTTTCCTTCGGGGTTTAGCAACCGGCTCGATTTCTGGACTTTTTTGTACTTTAGTAGTATCAAGGGCATTTGGGTCGTCTTTCAACATGCGACACATCCGCTTTCCGGTAGCAGTGAGCACTCCGTCTCTGATAAACATATCTTGAATATCTTCATGTAAAAAGTCTAATTCCGACTTAAATTTTTTCTTTGGTTTTGTGACCACACGTTTACGGCTCTTAATCCGCTCACCAACAGACATTTGAATTGGCTCTAGAAAAGCAGCATCCAAATTTACGTTTGCTACTTGATCACAATCGCCACCGTCTTCTTCTTGTGATTGAAAGGGTATTTTATTTTCGTTCGTGTTAGTAACTTCACTTACTGGAATATTTTCAATTAATTTGTGTTCTTCAGGCAAAGCGTCTGTAGAGGAACCAACAATCTCCTGTGGATATTCTTTATTAATTGTAACGCCTGTTTCTTTTTTATCATCATCTCCATTGCCATCAGCATTAATGATTTTCCGAATTTTCTGAATTTCTCGATCCTCAAAACTGTCCGAAAATGTTTCTATAAGTGAAAAAAGTGCTGTTTTTTTATCTTTTTTATTGTGACTTTTCAAAAGATTTTCGAAGAAATGAGCCAATATATTTTGTTCTGAGGGTGGCACATTTTGATGTGTTGTCCTCTGCGACGTCGCGCTGTTATCCGAACTGCGGTCATTAGAGATCTCGACATTTTCCGCTGATTTGTTTATACTGTCAGAAGCAGCGGCACCTTCAACCGCCGATATACTTATTTCTTTATCTTCCATGGGTAAACTTGACTGGGTTATTTGACCATCGGCTTTTTGAGATGCATCTGTTTTTTGTTCTAATAAAGAACTTCGAAATTCTATATCGTATTCACTAACAAAATCATCGACTGCTGAAGCTGCGCTTGCTGTAGAAGAACTTTGCCAAATATCTTTCACATTTTCTTTATCAGAATTAATAACTACTTTAATTCTGGTCAGGTTTATTTTCAACTTGTTCAATGCATTTTCATTTTCATTTTCAGTAGGAATGAACGCAGCATTTTTCACATCTGAATTTACTTTACTACCTATATCTTCATTAGAATGCAATTCTTCAAGATTTTTATTTTGAATTGGATCTGTACCTTGAATTGGCTCGGTAGCAGTGCTCATATTCTCATCGCTTTCATCTGATTCACTTAATTCTATTACTCGTCTTCTACGACTCCTACTACAACTCCTTTTGTCTCTATCGATGAAAGTTGTCTCCAGTTCAGGATCACGCTTCGATTTCCTAGGTATTCTAAACGTTTTGAACCCAAAAACTTCGTTAGTATTTCTATTCTCGCCACAACTATATAAACTTTCTAAGGGTGAAGAAAAAGATTCTTCCTTACCCTGATTTAAAGTTTTCCTGTCAGAAGATTTAGCACGTGTCTTGGAAGCACTTCTGTTCGAATACATTTCATCAAATTTATTGGTTTTCAGTTTTGTTTGTTCTTTTGAACAGCAATTACTTTTAACTGGTAATTCTTTAGTTATTACTTTGCCGTCGAGGTCTTTAGATATTCTGTTGCGATTTTTGTTACGTTTTTCGTCTAAATTTGTGAAGTCGTTAGACTCCGAAGAATCGTCCTTATTATGCAATGTACGATCTGCGCTTTTTTCCTTTCCTGCAGATAAACGTGGGTCTTTGACTAAGATTTCCGATTTATCTGTACAATTCGACTCCGTATTCAACCCTCTAGTGAGTAATCGTGGATCCCTGGTAGCATTCTGCTTCTGCAATGTAATATCTTTTTGTCTATCTTCTACAGCTTTAGCTTCCCTCTCTTGTCGCTCCTTTATTGCTTTATATTCTCTATAACTTCTAGGATCGTTAAGCCGCTTGTCCCTAAACCATCGGAATCTCTCCTGCTGATAATTTTGTTCCGACGTATAATTCATTGGTTCAAATTTAACCGGAGCAACTTGGCTACTACCGTAAAATCCTCCCTGCTTATTAAAAGAACTTTGTCGAGCAAAATTGCTAGTGGTATCATAACCCTGCATGTTATGGTCGGTCATAGGAGGAATAAAACGTTGATTAAGAGGATACTGACTTGGGTTCATATATTGCGGATGTTCCATATGTGAAGAATCAAATCGTTGATTCAAACTATATTGATCCATGTTTGGATAGGTGGGATTCAAATGTGAGGAATCGAATCGCTGATCAATACTATATTGGTCTGTGTTTAGACATGTACCTTCAGAGAGTGGTAGATCAAAATTAGCTCTAGGGGTACATGGTGCATCAAAATCGACACGAGGCGTGCTCAGGCTGATATTTACTCCGTGTTCAGTAAATACTCCAGGCAGAACTGTAGATGGAAAAGAAGGTTGTGGTAAAACTCCAGATCCAAGTGTTGACAAAAGCGACGATGGGCAATCTGAGTATGACACTGACGGTCTTCTTATTGGGGCACTCGGACTCTGATCGACCATATTGGAAACAATTTGTCCAAGACTATGCTCACTTCCTGGGGGTTGAAATAAAATTGGTCTATGTGTAGGAGACAAAATTGACTGCTGAGGCGATAGCAAAGTATTTGGTTTCATAACACCAGAATTATTATGTTGATGTACTGAAGCACGCGGAGGCGACTGAAATGATAGTTGAGGTAATTGACAGTTATCTTTATGTAAAGGAGTGAAAATATTCTGCAGAATCCTAGGGAGCTGTACAGGTTTATTATCTTTTGGATCAACACAGCTCGAAGGTCCCCCATGAGGTGTCTGAATTAAAAATGTTGAATTATCAGTAGTTGGAGCTCTCGCCTGCTCAAACGCAGGAATAATTGATTTAACAGAAGAGGTCTTCATCGACTTCTCAATATCCTCAGAAACCACTTTGTCGATATCTAGAAGATCGGTTTCAACTGGTTTTGGTTTCGGCTTCGGATTATATTTGTCAGCCAAACGTTTAAACGTGGGTCTTGTCATCTTTTCAAAATTTGTATTTGTTACTAATCCATGATTCGAAATTTTATTAGCCATACTAGAGTGATGCTTAAAGTCCGAATTAGAAGCACCCTTTTCTTTATCGACAATAAGATTTTTCTCGAACACCTTTCCCTGAGTTTCGCAATTTTCACTTTCCCCTTTGGCGCATTTCAGTTCGTTCAGACTCAGTGGTAAAGTCTTGTCGCGCGAAAATTTATCGTCTGTAGCTGTTTTTGATATAACCTTGATGCCATCGTTCTTTTGTGAAGGTCGAGTGATCTCTAATTCTTTATCGTTTTTGCCTTTAGAGTCTACTTTATTCTCCCCGGCAACTGTTTTCTCTATTCCCTTATCTGAAACTACAGACGCCGAAGTCGCCTCTTTCGAATGGGTAACGGATGATCTTCTCTCAGCTTTTTTAGTTTTCTTCGTGTCTTTTATGATCTTATCATCGATACTGGATAACAAATTTCCAAAGGTATCCGTTTCTTTTGCTGTATTTTTCTCGCTTTCCAAGCTACTTAAAACAACATTAATTGAAGGTCGATTGGAAGAAGTGTCCAGCTTTGTGCATGCGGCTGCCTTTTCAGCGCACAGTGATGGCTTTGTTTCTTTTGGCGAATGGGAAGAACTTTTTGATTCTTTCGACTTGCGAGATCGGCGTGTCTTGTCATCACTGTACGCCAGCCTGTTTGATGGAGTATGCGCATTACGAGCAGTTGGATTTATAAAATCATTTTCAACAGCAATATCTAGACCTAGAGCCTCATTCAACTCGTCGACTTTAAGTTGCAATTGAAGTTGCTTTCTATACTCTTGCAATTCGAAAACTGTTTTATTAGCAAACGCCGCGGACGAGATTTTATGATGAACGTCGTCTTCTAAAGTTTTGAGATCGTCTAAACTTATTGGGGGTTTTGACATATCCGGAAGTTTTTGTAAAACATCAGAAGGTTTCTGTATTACAACGTTGCTGTAAACGTCGACTTTCGGTCTACTTTCATTTGATCGAGCGTGCAAGCTAGACCTAAAACAAATTACTTATTTCAACAGCGGTTCTACTTATGAAACGTATAAGCCTGTTTTTTTGTTTGTTTTCGATTGTTTGCAATTCAGTATGTGGGTACAAATACATAATAATATATAAACAATTACCTAACTGCTGACGTCTCAACTTTTTCTGTAGGAATAGTAACAGGCTTATTTAGTACAATATTTCTAACTGGACTTGGGCTTCGTGGAGTAGAGGAAGGACTACTAGTAAACGAAACTCTGTTAAATGTTGAGCTATCACATCTTGATGGACCTTTAGAAGTACTAGCACACTCTTTCGTACTATCGATAGGTCTTGATGATTTTATTTGAGGATTCTATAAGTAAACGAAATTTTAAAGGCATTACCTAATAGAAAAACACAACAAACTTACCACTTTATGATAAATATTCGTTAATACTTGTTCACATCTAATAAGAGTTTCAAGTTTTAGTCTGTAAAAAAAATTATGTTTAAACTACGTAATCCATAAAAATTGCATTAAAAGAATCTCATCCAAATTACAGTAATCTTACTTTTTTCTCGTATCAGTTATCATGTCATGTAAAGATTTTATTTTTGTCAATTGAGCTTGCCGATTTCCTTTTGCTTCCAACTCTATCATCATATTTTTCAGAAATGGAATGTACCGTCGGAGAGAATCCAATTTTGTTTCGTAATCTGAATCCTCCATTTCTACTTCAACTGTAAAAGATTAAGTTTTGTTGTGTAAACTGATATTTTTCAAATATCCAGTCAATTATGATATATTTAGCTGGCAATTACTTAATATTATATTTACAATAAAATAAAACAATAAGGCTATTTAAAATCGTAAAATGTAAAAAATAAACGTATTGACGAGCTCGATTCAATCAAATGGTAGCTGTAAATAATAAAGTACAAATCAGAACCATTTTAAATCAGCATTCTAACTTTTTATCTACTAATACCCGCTATTTGTCTTTGTCAAACATTTCAGCTTGATTGCTTATATCCTGTAGTTTGTTGGCTTGAATCGGAGGTTTAAAAGTTACAAGATGCGCGGTACAGACTACGACAAAGGTTTTTGGACAATTAGGAATTGTGAAATATGTAGGGTAAAGCAGAGAGGATTAGAACCTTTTCACACGGGCCTCTCTGCAGCGTTTCTCAGTGGCGTCTGCTAAGAGTAAGTAACTGCGCTCTCTGTACACTACTACTAACAATTATCTATTATTATCTAACAAATAATACCAGTGTCTGTTTAAGTGTTTGACTACCGGGCTGCAATAAAAAGCAATAAATAGAGGATTACGAAAACATTGCATATCCATCTATCCATGTCACCTCAAAAATATTTCAGTTTGATCACTCTTTAAAACAAAACCATCAATATTAATCAAACTGAACAATCTAATATAACGGACCAAATCCAACTTTGAGATTATAAACCCATCTTTATAAGCGGCGGCTAAACGTAGGAATACGATCCCTTTAGTGTTCATGGACGGACTGTAAGCTATCATGTCTTAATTTTTACGTTTGGTGATGTGCTGATTTAGGTTAGGATTGGCCTTAATTCGTGACTAACGACTACAGCGTGTTCAAAATTATTTTATACATTATTGCAGACCAAAAAAAATGGATCGGCTTTGTTTATTCCGCAATTAAGTTTTTAAACATCACAGAAATTATAAGCGCAATTGAAGTCAGGTTCACAGGTGGGACGTCAAAATGGTTATTGAATATGCATACGATATATCATTGTTTGAATGCAAATAATATCGTGAGTACTTAATGTAGATAAGTAAGTACGTAATGAAGATTCAAGACATCATTTAACACAGAAACGTGTACCACAGTATATGGTTGTATTAAATGTACTATGAAATCTGTCTTTTTGATCAAAATAAATATAGGCACAAGCCGCCTGTACAACATTTATTGATAATATGAAAGTACTACTCGAATATGTACTACTATTTATTACTACTCGCCATTTCGATTTGATGTTGCCTTTGACCTCAACAACTACAATGTTACAAAAATCTAGTTGAATTTTCAGTAAAATATAACTTAAGTTTTTTGCACACACGTAATTGAAAATGTGGATGCTTGTTATTGAAAATTCAAATACTTGTGATTGAAAATTCAAATTACTTTTGGTTGCATTTTTTTATATAAAAATCATGTCATCCGTATAAGATGTTTATAAATCATACTACCATCAAATATCAAAGTTTCACTTGATCCAGATGCCCACCCATTTCTACTATGATATAATATCAACGCTTTCCATTTAACAGCCTTCAACGAGGGTTACACAAGATATTTTTTATGTTAAATCCAGTTCATGTCTTTCTTGTGCCATTTCATATTCATTATTATCAAATTTACTTATTGTTATACAGATTGTAAATAGTGGTAAATTAATTAATTAATTAATACTACTTATTACTACTAAATTAATACTACCATCATGTTGAAATCTTATCTCTAACAAGTTAAGACATACAATTGGAATGTACATAACCATAAAAACTAACTTAGAGTAAAATATAAAAATTAATCTCAAGGTTCAATTTGTCATAAATGAATTAAAAATCATACATACACTTTTACTAAAATTATATCATCTATAGTCCGTACGCTATAACTTTGGTCGCACGTCATCAGTGACGAAATTTGACTCCCAACATAAAAACAATTATGCATGAAATTTGTGTCGAATCTTTTTTCTAATGTTTTGGGCATTGGCGAACCTCAAGCAGTCGTAAAATACCAAACTCTATAATAATACCGAATTTCACGCGATATTGATTATTTATGTTCACCTTTAAAATTATTAGGTTGATGAAAATTACAAGGCGGCCGAATCGATCGTAGATGTATTGGATTTTTTTAAATAATACATGACGTTTGCTTGTTGCATTTATCATGTACTTGTCCATGACTTTTCCGTTGACGGTATATTTGTCAAATAAACTTTTCAAATAAACCATTATTCAATGGGATACCAATCAAAGATCGGACCACTAAAAAATAATACTTAATAACAAAGTTGAAACTCAATCTTCAACTTAAATATATTTTTTTAATATTTTTCTCGTACTCTTTAAGTGAGCCTCTATAGCCCCTTAAAAAGAATGACGCCGATTTTAAATGACCCTGTATAAAAAAAATCAAATTATCTCACAAAGCTCGGATACGGCTAAAAAATTTGATGTCTTGGTTAACCATATGGTAACTGTATGTGGCCTTCACGAACTAGATTCCGAAGTCTGACATCTTGAAGAAGATTAAATGTTAAGTGTTCATGGTGCCGCGTCGTAAGAGGCGAGATGTCGTGGCACATGGACACGCAGAGCGGCATCAACACACAAGCCAATACTTCAGGTTAAGATGAATGTAACAAATACTGTTTGTCTTCCACTACTAATTTGTCCTCCAAGCTGCAGGATTCACAAAATGTAAATTGTGCGGGCCCTTTGCACGGCACTATATCTTCATATATGTAAAGCCATCACTCCTGTGCAGGGCAGGTACAAACAGTATACAAACTAGGCCTCGGAATCAAACTCGAATAATTCGAGTATTCGAATATTCAAATTATAAGTGTCTAGTCATAACTCGAATATTCGAATACTCGAATATTGGAATACGCGAATACTCGAATAATCGAATACTCGAATACTCGAACACTCGAATACACCATTATGGAACTCACAAAGTGTAAATACCTTTACATGCACTTTGTATACTTTTATAAAGTAAATTATTCATATTCTACAAGCATTTAAACAAATACCCATATATTTACAAGCAAACGATAATAATCATTTACCCTCCTGCAAATGAATATGAAATTACGTCTCTGTGTTCTGGTGATTTGCGTCATCAACTTCTGCGCGGTGTTACAATTAATGTGCCGACAAAGGCCCTTTTTTATCCATTGCGGCTAGTTGCCAAAAATGATATGAGATAACGATTTTTCGGAAAACTCTTGGAAAACGGTGAACGGAAAACGAATACTCAAATACTCGAATTTTCGAATACGCGAGTATTCAAATACTCGAATATTCGTTAGATATTCGAGCACTCGAATAATTTTACAGTTCGAATAAACTACTAAACGAGTATTCGAATTTCAGAATTTTAAAAATTTTGAGCCCTAATCCAAACCGACGGCAGCGTGTACTAGATCCGCCATGATGCTTGTCGGGTGGTACTTTTACGCTTTTGTCGCTTCAGCCGGTAACCCATTGTATAGTTCCCTCTTTTCTATCAGATAAATCGTCAGGCGATGGCCGTTAATTTGTATTTCATAAATTTACATTTACACAATATCAAAAAAATTTACTTCCTCACGCAAATATTATTCTATTTACCTAATCTTATCATATTTTACTCTGTATATTAATATAGTAATCCGCATCATTATAATGAAACAAATGCATAACATTATAATGAAAAATGCTCAGCATAAGTTTTTCACTTCTGACAATGTTCTAAGTCTTTTTAGTTCCATGTTATACGTCATTGAATTTTGGATTTTCACAACCTAAATATTGAAAATTCAATCAAAATTTACATGAACTACCAAAAATTTAATTTTCAATTACAAAATGTTATGAAAAGTGAATGAATTTCCAACCCGTTTTTAACAGTGTAGGAACAATTGCAGAAGAAACAGCATATTCCAATGTTGAAACGTCAAATGGCTATGCATAGATAGATAACCCACTCCACTGTTATTCAACAAGCTGATCAACAGCTAATGACCTGCAGTTCACGCATGCGCATTAATGGGAACCTACGTTTAACCGCCAGTCCCTCATCAACTAGACATTGACGGCCATGCCGATTGCGACGGAATCAGTTATTTGATGTCGCCAATTTTGAATCAGCTTCTATTATTAAAAATTACTGATCGGTATATAAACTATAGCAAATCTGAGCGATGTTTAAAACATTTTATTTTTTCTCAATTCCAGTTCTTGTTCTAGAAATTGTCTTGAAAAATTTCAAAAAAATCAAAAAAATCTTGTTCGAACACCCAACAGGTGGCAATGCCAATTCTGATCAGATGTGTAAATTAAAATTGTACAAGAAAGCATACCGTCATTCCTTATATACTTAACAAACCCGTTAATTCTCGACATTGACATCAGGAACAATTTAGATTACAAGCAGTGAATAAAAATAACATTGTGCATACAGGATGATTCAAAATTAGCGTCATTCCTTTTAAGGGGTTATGGTGTGATATGTTAGTATGAAAAACTGAGTTTCAACTTTGTTATTAAATATTAGTTTGAAATGGTCCCATCTGATTGGTAGCTTATTCGAAAAAAGAAAAATTACGATCTATACTTCAAATTATGAAAAATTTAATATACAAAAAGGTACTCTTCTACAATTTTTTATGAAAATTTAAAGCAGCAATGATGTTTATTATCAATTCAGGTTGTTATAGGTTGATAGCTTTTGTCGAGAATAACACGCATTTATCAAATTGTGACTTAGGTCCGTATTTATAAACGATACTCAGCAATACAATACAAAATACTCAGCTCATGCTTCGCCAAGTACGAGATCGTGTCCAACCGGGATATTGATTTATAAACAGTATTTCGTATCGGTCGAGTAAATAGATTTATAGGGACTTTCGTATTTATTTGGTTAAATTATATTGGCTGTCAATGTTATTATGTAAATATGTATTTTAAATCGCTGAAAGACTGGTTTATATAACGAAGATCACCGGACACAGGCTACTGTGTCTATAACTAATATTGTACTTTATATAAGAAAGTAGACATAAAATCATAGAAACTTTGCTACTTGTTGCATAGAATCTATAGAATAGAAAACTACTTGTATAGAATCTTAGACATACCAGAAATTGAGTAATGGGTGATATTGGTAGTCCACGATTATCCGCTGTCAATAATAGTTCGTATAAAAAAGGTAAAATCACCTCAATATAGTAGTAGTGGCCTTTGAAAACCGAAACCTTTTCTGTAATTGCACATCCGAGAAAAACTCAAAAGGATTTTTGCCATCTCGTATATCTTTACTAACACGTTGGTCTTCGTTATTTTCCTCCTCTATTACGTCAAAATATTCAAAAACCTCGTCCATTCTTATATTGTACACGACAGTAAAATCAAAACATTAAAATGTAAAAACATAAACAGTAATATAACCTTAAAAACCGTTTAACGGTTCAACGAAAAAGCTCGACCAATGGCTGGGCAGAAGCAATACTCAAGCCACCGTCGACCGATAGTTGAGCAAGCAAAGCTGTTAGCATTGGCTTGAGCATGACAATGGTTTATAAAACGCAATCGAAGCCAAGTCTCGTACTTGATACTCCACTCAGGCTTGAGCATCGTTTATAAATACCTTAGTGTGTCGCAAATTACGCAATGAGGCAGATTATCTTGAAAAACATTGTTGCCGAATTTCTGATCAAGTTTTTGGCAAGTATCTCATGCCCACTTGCACCAAACTTCTTCTGAGCACGTCCTTACATAAGTATATCTTAACATTTAAGTCGACTTGAGCTTCAATGAGTTGCACCATCCGTTTTTAACCTGTTCTTAGCTAAGCTTGAGGCAATAACCGACAACTCTGTATTTTTCGTTCTGGTCTGTATGTATGTGTTGTTTCTAACCGAAATTTGAGACTTTTAAAATTTTGTTTCACTAATGCCTGCAAAACAGAAACGATCTCCTTATTTTAACGCTTCTGAAAGAGATACTCTTCCAGAGCTCGTTGCGTTTCATAAAGATCATCAAAAATAAAAAAACAGATGCTGTGTCTTCCCAAGAAAAGCAGTCAACATGGTAGAAAATAACGGGCCAATTTAATGCTATTTGTTAAAACAATTAATAATTAATTTTAAACAACAATTCCCCGTACGACAGCAATAATCAGAACATTCTACAATAACCAAAAAGAAGGCATCCGGAAGCACATTTCCAATAAAAAAAAAAAAACTTTATCAAACTGGTGGCGGAGGAGTTGTTCCTTCAGTTGCAAGGGGCAATGCAGATAAAATATTATTATCTATTGAAAATAATAAGACCTTGTATGGATTGGATCAATCACTTGCTCCTTTTGATGGTGATTGGGTACAGCCAAATGAAACTCCGCCACCTCTCATTTTCCCAATTAGTCAGAAAGGGTGTGGATAAAACGTTGAAATTCAAAATTCATGATGTACGTAGGTACTTATTTTTTGAAAATAGGACATTATGATTACGCATTTATATACGTATGCTGTATATTTGACTAAGTAGCAACTAAAGTGAGGTTGGAAGAAGGCTAAGTCATGCTTAAGTACTCGAGAACGAGTCCTTAAATTTAAGATTTTCGAAGACGAACTTAAGATCGTGCCATCGGTTGGTGCAAGCTATTTTGGCAGTTAGGCTCGAACTTAACGCTAAGCATAACCTTAAGTCTTCCTTAAATATTTGGTGCAAGTGGGCATCAGTTTTCATTATGAATTATTTTTTTACCAGTTTTTCTGCACTCGCTAAACACCCCTAGAAGAATTACGCCAATTTTGAATCACCCTGTATAATTTCAACTTCACAGCTGTCAAGTCAAGTTTGTAGTCAGTCACAGTCAAGTTGTCAGTCACAGTCAAGTTTGTACATCAGAGTATTCGCTAGTCAAAAAGTTCAAACGCTCACTAGCGGCTAAATTATAACTATACTTTAACAAGTAAAATTTGACACTTATTTTGAATAGATGGCAGCCTTAAAACAAATAGATAAATTTAAAAGTATGCAAGTACTGTTAGGTATTCGCGAGTTCAAAAGTGCAAATGCTCTTTGGTGGTTAAAATAATAACTAACTAACACGTTTTGTTAGCATTGGTGATTTGTTTTGTTCTGTTCTAATCAACTTTTGCAAGCTTTTCATATTTTTGTCATTCATTTTCGTTGCAACTGCAACTGTCACTTTTCCCTTGTTTTCCAACTCCAATAGATAGACAAGTTTGACAAGTCTCAACTGGCACTCGGCAACGAGCATTTTGACGTTTCGCAGCGCCCCCATCGGTAGTTGAATTTGCGAATTACGTTTCTACGGCACCGCCAATGACATCGACTAGAGCGACCCCAACGTCGAGTTCATACTCTCCTTTAAGAATGGTTTCATAACCACAAAACTGCATGTGTATGTTAGTAATACGTATACAGTTCAGTTGCTTAAATTGTTAGAATACTATTTGTTTTCAGCCAAAAACCGGAAATTAAAGTTATTTTGGCATTAGGTATGCAACCACATCACAGATTTTATCTAGTGATAACAGGATAATATGGTAAAATAACGAAAGCACATTGCCAGGAAAAAAATGTTTAAGCAAATATCCATCTGTCATTGCTCGATGTTAAACAATATGGCTGACGCAAAATCGGATCAATTCCAAATCAAATGAGTTAGAACGTTTGTCAATAGGTGTGTGAAAACATATAATTCATATCGATCGGTCATGTGCGAGGGATCCGGACTTATTTAGATCTAAACCTACCTTCTTCAGAAGTTTGGTGATTTGTAATTTACGTGGCGGTTAGCAGTTTGAAGTACTTGCTATTTGATGTGTATCTTCTCGTATCTATGTATGGAGGGTGTAATAGTCCAATCCGCATCAAAAATTGCGTGTCTAACAATGCACTTTATACACCGCCACTTGGTAACACATTTCACTTTGGTTTAAAAAATTGATTAGTCTATAATGTCCCGTAATAACTAACGTAACGTATAAATCATATCATATCATATAGCGTGGAATCATGTATAACGCTAAAACACTTGAAGAGATGTGGTTTGTATGTGCCGCCATTCTGGTAGTTCTACGCCTTGATGACGAGCGGCCATACCAACTGCTTCCCAAACGACGCCGAGGCGTACTTACTAACACGTGTTAAAACAACGACTTACCTCGTATGAGCTCAAAATTATTCACTAATCAGACCGCTGCCAACTTGAATAATATCCGCTAGCTATAAATTGTCTAAAGCAAGCATAATGGCTCTAATACTTTTCCTTAATGCTTGACTTCGTAGATTCCTTGACAAAGTATACCTTTCGCTCACTTCGGATTACTGTGCTGGACGGGCTGTGCGGTGAACAAGCGCGCATCAAACGTCAACGATTTGTTCCGATGAGATCCGCTGCAGGACGATCTTTTTGGCGCATTGGAACTGCAGTCGACGGATTTTAGAGATAGAGACAGAACTTGAAGGTCCAACTCATCGCCACTTTCAATTCAGTAGGTTTTCAAGCGGCGTATTGAACGCATAACATACGCTCGAAGTTCGACTTCACCAGCAAACCAGGTAGAAAATAGAAAAGTGCAGGTAGTCGTTAACTATGTGGAAGCGATTAAGTTCCTTTCCACTTCGTGTTCGTCGCCATATTTGATTCGTTTATGACGTATTTTAAAGGTCGAGTTGGTTGTTCTGCCTGTCATTATCAGGCAACAAAATGTTTCCGCCGAGTTTCGTGTTATTTTCCTACTCTTTAATATCCTAAACCAGGAATGGTTTGTTTGAATTAGACTTTTAGTGATATGTTGTGTTGTTTCACCTCTCGACTATGGAGAGCGATCAGAAAAGTGTTTTCCCAACTTGCCACCTGACCCGAATAACCCGTTAATAACTTGACCCACTTTTACATTCCGTCGAAATGTAATACCTAGGTAGATTTAAGCTCCTCTTACCTTGATAACACATAGTTTCTCTCCAAAACTGCTCAAAAATATGTTCATCATCCATCTCAGCAAAGGGAAATTTATATGTATTTGACACAACTGCCAATTTGTTTATCGATTGGTGGTTGTTACCACATGGAGATCTCAGGTAACTAGACTTTTCTACTTCAATAGCAATTAATAATTCAAGGTAGGGACATTAAAAAGATACAACCACCGTTAAAATAAGAATATCAAATGCAATTCTGCAATTATAAATGTTTCTACCTAATTTGACTGCAAATCTTAGATTAATGCCTCAAAATTGCCTGTTTTTACATGCTAGAAACTGGGCAAAACCAAATTAGAACTTCAATTTAATGAAATCAGTGTAATATTTCATATTTACAACAAAATACACACAGAGTTCGAATCCTAATAGGAATTTTCCAAAGCTTAAAATATGGATAACTGGTTTCAACATTTCTTTTTAATAAAATAAAATGTTCCAAATAATCAAGAAAATCTGCACATCTAAAGATCCGTAATAAACGTTTTCAGTTGAATTAGGAACCATCAGTGTACAGAAGCTGGAAATATGGACAACTGTTTACAGCATTTGTTTTTAACCAAATGAAATATGTTTTGTCTTATAATCATAACATACGAGTGAAAAATCTGTAATTGAAAGTAGATAGTTAGTTGACATAGCCAAGCATGAACAGGGGCGGATTGACCGAGGGGCTGTAGCCCCGGGCTTTAACCTTGAGAGGGCCCCGCGAACTCTGACTTAAAAAAATTTCATTTTCTGCCCTCGTGAGGTTTTAATCCACCCCTGAGCATGAATAGAAATTTAAAGAAGCTTAACATGTAGATAGTAGTTTGCAACATTTTCTATTAGTAAAATAAAATATAGGATTTCATTTTAAAAAAGTATTCATACAAAATAGAAGATCACTAAAGTAAAATAGGTACTTAGTTGTGGTACCCAACCATCAATAAAAGTTTGTTTGAAGCAAGAAAAATTGCAGCAGTTTCTTTTAATCAAATAATATCGTGGGTTTAAAGCTAAAACTGACCAAGTCTGAAATATAAATTTTTGGTAAATGCACTTTTAAACCGAACCAAAAATTATATCAGAACCGTTTCAAAACTTTGTTATTAAAACTTATCTGTCTCCCTGTTTGTGTGGCCTTGGGGGAGTCAGTTTTTGAAGGCAAATATGTATGTTACTGTTTTTAAAGTACTTGGTCAACAAACACAAATATTTTTAGCTTTAAACGCACGATATTTCATACTATGAACAAAATCTAAACACGGAATGAAAAATCATTTATAGAACTTATCTAATGGAATTAGCCAAAAATATGTGAAAAAGTTTCAAATATGGACTATTGATGCACCTTTTAATGATATAAAATATATTTCATCTTATAAACACGAAATGATAAATCGGTAGATAGGTACTTAATAGAAAGTATTTAGTTTTTTTTGTTGGGTTGCATCTGCTTGTGTTGAATTTCATGCGTGTTTGTTCAAGCATGAAAGAAGTTTACAGAGGCGTAGAATACAGGATGAGTTAGCGACAATCCCTTCTTAGACCGTGCAGAAATAGCAACTGGAAAAAGCATTTATATATATAAAGTGCCGTCGCCATAGTATGTAGTTATTACAGTTAAACTTCGAACTCGGCTAATCTCGACGTTAACCGGTTATTATCGAGTTTAGCACAAATGTTATGTTACTGTCAAAAGAAATTCAGATAATCTCATCAGAGTTCAGCCATTTTTGCAGCAAAGCTCATCACTAAAAAGTCTGGTCTTGGTCTTGATATTGCAGCAAGAGTCTTGCAAGTCTTGCTTTTATATAAGCAGCAAAATTAGACAAAATTATTTAATAGTAACAATAATAATAATTAAATTAAAAGGATAATAATAATCTATACGAAACAAATTAAAAAATCTGAGAATATTTGCTATTTTAAAAAGTTTAATTATTTTGTAATTGTGGACCTGTCTTTTTTGCAAGACCAAGTTTCGATCATCAGTAGTTTTTTTTTATGGATTTCGAATTAAATTCGAAGTATTTTTTGAATAAAAATAGTACCTATGTACCATGTGACTGAATTCAATACTTTTGGACATAACAATCGAACATGGGAGCGCAACAAAAGTAAACTTTATAATTTTTTTTACTAAAATAAACTATGTCATGTAAAAATTTTAAAGTAATATTAAAATAAATATTGTCGTTTTCGCTGAGGCATAATTCTAATCTTGTTATGAAGATCTTCTTGCAGCATTTGTGGAGATATTTTGTGGAAAGCGCGTCTTATTATCTGCTTCACATCCTCGAGGTCATTTCATTCGAATCATCATGGTTGATCAACTTCTGACTGGTAGACTTCCTTTGACCTATCCCCAAAGAAAACAGTCACAAGGAGTGAGGTCCGGTGATCTGGCTGGCCAATTATTATGCGTGCCGCTTCCTATACATCTATGATGATATGATCGATGCTACAAGTTACGCACAGTAAGGGAAAAGTGGGATAGATCCGTCATGCTGAAGCCAAATATTTGGGCGGATGTTCGGAGGAACTTCCTCTTAATAGTTCTGGGGATCATTAATTATAATAATAGTGAGAATTATATCAGATTAATCGCCAATCGGAATGTTTAGAATCAAAATAAAAGTCATATAGTATCTATGTTATACAAAAAATACTTCGAATTCAATGTAGAAACTGGATGTGGATTAAAAAGTTCGCTGCTGTTCCATTATATAAAAGTAACTTGACCGTCATAACTACAAGTTCACAGTAACAGAAATAAATAGTTTCGCCACAAGCACCACACAATTATCAAATAATTTTAATTAACATTGTCAATTTTTCAGGATATTTTTACTGCCAATACTTCCTAGGCATATCTTGAGACTTTTGCTTAAGTATGTCATATTGTAAAGTATTGCCATTTATTCATTTCTTGCATCTGAATAAACTAGTATTTATGCATTACTGTTCAATGAAGCTGCAAATTGGTTGATTTATGTATCAGTACCTAATCAAAATTCCTAATAAAATTAACATTTAACAAGTAGTGCGCGAATTATTTGCCTCATAAATTAGTTTATTAAAACTTTTATTGGTTTGGTTTTTTGTAGCATTTATTCACTGATCTTTTTTATTCACTGATCTGAACAGATCGCCAAGCCATACTATTTATTTGGTCAACCACCATCAAAGCAATGTTGTCAACCTTAAAAATTCAAGTGCTCACGAGGAGGGAAATAAATTTCGTTTTTTTTATATTTCAAGAATCTCAGTTCTCTTATCACAAACGCAACGTGTTTTCCACGTTGCCGAGTATTTAGTAGCAGCTTGGAACTTTATAAACACGTTTTTAGGGGTGAGGACAAGGATAATTGACCTCAGTGTTTCGAAGCTAACACTTTTGAGATAAAAGAAAAAAGGGACCTATTCTAATTTTATAAATACATGAACAAGTACATGGTTATTCAAAAGGTTTGTAATAAAAGAATATTCGTGACTCGGGTCAGAACGGTCAGAAAGAAGAGCAATAATGAGAAGGTCAGAAAATAGTTTTGCTGAAGCAAAATGGAATTTTATTTTCTGATTCGATCTTAAAACATGAGCTCCGCTCTATAATAACTTTATCTATTCTATAACTTAGCAGAATTATTTTATGATCAATTAACTTTTTTATGGCATATTAGTTTTATTTTGAAAAGTTTTCGTTGAAAAGTTCACACAGCTTTTGATACTTCAGCACTCAGCGTCAAAAAGAAGGTGACTTAGAGTCTTCGGAACTTCAGCATCACCATCATCTTCAATCAGCTTATCGAAATCTACTGCCGAACGTAAGCGTTTGGTCTTGTGCTGTCTGCATCATGCATTCAGTCTCTATATTTGGTCTGCATCCAGTTGGTACTGATGCGTTTTAGTCGTCGATCCATCTAGTGGGGAGACGTCCTCTATTTCCGATCTAGGTCTCCATTCAAAAATTTGTCTTGTCCATCTATCATCAGAAGATCCTACAATGTGTTTCGCCCAGTTCCATTTTAGTACAGCTATTCTCCCAACGGTCAGCAATTCCGGATTGTCTGCGGATTTCCATTCCATCGTAAGTTCCAGTCCTCTTAAAGACTGGAAGAACACACTGGTTAAATCGTTTTCTTTCGGCAGTTTGGCAACTCTGCCTTAACGACATATTGGATTTTTAGGGTCTGACTGGAAATCTCGAGTGCGAGGTATAGCAAGTTCGAGTTGATTGTCGAGGATCTCTTTGAGTTACCACTTTGAATAAAATATTACAAAATTTCGTATAAAACCCGAAATGCATGTTAACAAAATTAGATTATTTTCATTCCTAATAGTTATATTATAATTTAGAACGTGATTCATGCGCAATTTACATCCGTGTAGTAGTTGTATCATACTGATTAATTTCTGATAACATTTTAAGTAAATTAATGCTAACCTTCAGCACGTGCGAGTTTTACGATTGTGATATAATGTTCATTACATTATGTTCAACTGACAACAATTATTTTACAATTAATAATACTAACAGAGCAAAATAAAATTTATTCTAAAAGTGACCTTCTGCAGCAAGCAATCGAAAAAAGCGTTACGCCACTGCATGCACAGACAATGAATTTGGTCATTTGGTCGCTAAACCTTTTACTATTGTCTTCTGATATTTAGCTCCTCTTCCGATAGATTTCTATAACTTGCAAGCCTTTAAACGGTCACAAGAATTAATATATTTTCGACCTTGAACTTTTGCTCGGTTG